CTTGGGTGGAAGGGGCCATTGGCCCACCGGCCATGTGTAGCCCTGCTGCCTGCAGGGAAGAGCTCAAAGCAGGAAAGCCCAGAGGAGAAAGGCAGAGGGAGAGCTACTGAAATGCGGAAGAAAGGGTGGGAGATGGAGGAACTGGCAGAGGAGGAGGGAGAGGGAAGCGGAGCGGGGGAGCTGGGGGCGCAGGGCAGGGCCTTGGGTGGAAGGGGCCATTGGCCCACCGGCCATGTGTAGCCCTGCTGCCTGCAGGGAAGAGCTCAAAGCAGGAAAGCCCAGAGGAGAAAGGCAGAGGGAGAGCTACTGAAATGCGGAAGAAAGGGTGGGAGATGGAGGAACTGGCAGAGGAGGAGGGAGAGGGAAGCGGAGCCGGAGAATGGCAGCCAAGCACCTCAGAGCAATGGCAGAGCCACGTACCACTGCGCACTGGCTCCCCCGGGTCCTTCGCCCAGCTCTGAGCAGCACGTGGTGCCCGTGAGTCACGGAGAAGAACAGGAATTCCCCGACCGAGACTTTCAGGAGACACCCCCTGCCTGTGAGCGAGACGGGCGCTCGAGGACTCGCCGCCAGGCCTGTCACGAGTGACTCCGCGGGCCTGTGGCTGAGCTCTGTGTCACCAAGAGAAATGGTCCAATGAATGATATTCCTCCTCCCTCCCTCTCTACCCGCCTGGGCCCAACGTGGCAAGCGGGACTGAGCCCATTCTACCCCAGAGACACGACTCCTGGGGGCCTGGCCTAGCCCTGCTAGGCCTGTGAGCTCATCTCTCCAGCCGCTCTCTGCCGCTCTCACGCGCTTCCCTGCTGCAATCTTCAGCGGGGGCCTCCAGAGCCTGGACCGTGCAGCATGAGAGATGGGCCCTGGACAGGCGGAGGAGGCGGATTTATCTCAATCCTCCTCAGAGATTGCAATCGAGGGAGCTGGCGAGCCTCTCCTAAGCATGTCTCTGTCCCAAGGGGAGCGTAGCTTGAGTGCTTGCTTCTTAGAGGAATGTGCCTCAGCCCAGTTCGGCTCTGTAGGAAACCTTTCAAAGCCAAGCCAGGCTGTGCCTACACAATGGGCCACGTCCCCTCAGTGCACGTGCAAGACAGCTCTGTCCACACAAACTACGCCATGTGGCCACGCAACGGGCACCCTGCACAGCCACTCCTCTTTGCACGCACAAATGCCCATTTTGTCCCTGCAGTTACCCCTTTGGCCCTGCACCTCTTAGGTCACTTTGGGAAACTGCACCCTACCTTGCGCAGCTCAAATCCCAGACTTGTCTCGCAGCTAGGGTCGCCAGATGGTTTAAACAAAAATACTGAACACCCCTCCCAAAAAAAACACTGGGGAAAAAATTCAGTTGAGAAAAAAAAGGTGGAGACCAAAGTTGTTGAGAGAAAAAAAAAAGGACCCCGAGAGTTATTGAGCAAAAAAAATTTAAAAAATTAAAAATTAAAAAAACCAGCATGGCCCCTTTAAGAAATGCCTTTGAGGTTTTTTTTGGCCCTAACAGGCTGCTGGTGGCTAGCTGACACCTTATCTTCCTGCTTCGGGACAGACAGCAACCCTGCGGAACCAGGTAAGCACCCGGGATTTTCGTCTCCTGGCCAGGAAAAAATCAGAAAATACCGGACATTTTAGGACATTTTAGGTGTCTGGTATTCTCTGAATTTTTTTACCGGACAGGAGGTGAAAATACCAGATTGTCCGGTCAATACAGGACACCTGGCAACCCTACTCTCCACTTCGCTGCAGGTTTTGCTCAGCAAGGTGAATGCCAGTCTCAGTTTCCATCCTCTCGGAGACGTAGGGCTAGACTTTACTAGCTTTGTTTTTAATTCCTTGGGCTTTAGGCTCTGCCGCCCAGCAATAAAATCCGTGGCACTTAAAAGTGGAGACAGGAAAGTGTTTTCACGGTTTGCTAATTGCGATCCTGTGTTCAGTTTCTTCGTCTGAAGCCTGCCACATCACGGCTGATTTGCATTTGAGAGGAATGCAACACTTCCCCGTCCGCGGTCTCTGCCTGTTGGGAACCGCTAGCTCTGGGACCAGTGGGCGTGAAGTAGGTGTCAGTGCTAGTCCAGCGACACAGTGCAAGAAAAGTAACATAGGGCCTGACCAAAGGCCATTGACGCCAGTAGAGGCCCTTTCCATCTCAGGTTCATAGTGACTGTTCAGCTACATTATTCCCTGCTGCCATTACAAGCCATGTGTAGCATCCTGGTGGCTGGTTTTCCTGGCCCCTCCCAATGCCTGTCTGCTGCGAGGTCCACAAAGGAATCACTCCCGTGTACCAGCCGGTACCTTATCCAGGATCAGTGCCCCAGGCTCTTCGCAGGCTAAGCCCTGGGAGCTCTCGGGGGCTGAGGAGTGACCAGCCCTTCTTTCCTGATGCCAGTTCAGCTCTAGACCTCCAGGAGGCACTGTGACATGGCAGAGGAAGGCCGGCCCCTGGGGCCAGGACTTTGCTCCCTGAGATGCAGGAGCCTGGTGAGCCAGGCTAGGGCCAGAGTCCATGACAGAGGAGCAGCCTCAGGCAGTGGCGTGCCCGCAGCTGGGCAATATGGGTGGTGGGTATGGCAAGCCGGGGAGCTGAGCCTTCCCAAACAGCCAGGAGTGCCCCGCCAGGCTCTGTCCTGCTCTTCCCCTGTGGCCCAGCCATGGTCCCTGGAAGCCGGGCCCTTGGCCACCCACTCAGCAGAGATTCCAGTGCCGCCCGCTGACTATCAGAGCCCACAGCCAGGGGTTTCTACTCGCGGTGCACAGTCACACAGGCCTCCGTGCACGGAGCAGCATCTCTTCTGCACATGGATGAAACGATTCGAGGGAGCATTGGACCCCAGCCTGGGCTGGTCCTCTTCCCGCCTTGGACAGCCTGTTCTCTGAAGCGGCGGGGGGCTGGGCTGGGCTGGGC